AGTCTGGTAAGTGTTATAGTGTCATGCTGTCATCAGTGTCATTTAAATGCAGTATTTTCTTCCAGGACAATGTTTTCCTGGGCACAATGATTATCATACTAGAGCAGATAGTCAGTTTATAACATAACATATATACACTTGCCAGAAATTATTTGTTATTGCATAGTTTTAGAAAAACACCTACACTTTATGTTTTACTGGATGGAAGTGTTACTTGATACTGAAAGGATGCGCATGCGTGAGCTTGTGTGTGGACGTGTCAATCACGAGCTCTAAAAAATGGGCATTTCTTTAGCCCAATACAGAGTCAAAATAGGCACCTTTTGTCAACCAAGCAAAACAAAATGTCAGTGTTTACATGGACTAAAACTTGAGAGGCATTATCTTTCGCTAGGAGTGCGTTGGATGTGTCTGATGAGTGTCCTACTTATCACATGTGGCGATGTCGAGTCGAACCCGGGACCCACCACACGACAAACAAACACTGGCTGGGGGACGAATAGGGTGCACTGGGCATAAACGTGAGTGAAAGGACAACACTGATATATTGACAATACTCCTTGAAATGAAAGTTGATATCAAATCTATGAACAAAAAGCTTTGTAAATCTAAGCGACAAGGTTGACAAGATGGCGTGTCAGATTTTAGCAGCCAACTTCATCAACTACAACAAGAAAATACAGAGCTAAAGTCAAACTATCAGCCATGGAAGATAAAGATTACCGACTTGAATCTAGGAACCGAAGAGAAAATCTAATTTTCCATGGGATCCCGATGATAAAGGTGAGGCGATGGGGAGCAATCGGAGAGTAAGGTCGCGACTTTCTGTCTCAAACCTTGCATATGGACAACGCCAATGAGATAGTGATATCACGAGCACATCGGTTAAATCCATGGAAGCCAGGTTCTCCAATCATCGCTTTAATTCTTGGCGTCTAAAATTAAGAGCGACATCTTCAAGGCAGCTGCGAACCGACAGGGACGGAGGGATCACAACATAAAGCAGTGACAGAGGATTTCCCCAGAAAAACGAGAGAGGACAGGCGAGCACTCTCACCTTGGTTTGTGAAGGCAAGGAATGCAGGAAACAACCGAAAATGAGACAAAATAAGCTGATTGTAAAATGGTCAAGTGTTTGTGTCGATGGGGACTCGCAGAACATTGTAAAAGAGAAAGGATCGCGCAAAGAACTACCCCACACAAAACAATAACACAACCACCGTGGGCAGGTTTGTTTGGACCGAGAAATGAAACTGACAAGCAAGGTGAAGGATGGAGCCAGTTGGGAAGTAAACAAACCGACGAATGATAAGATGGTCATGGCCCTACTTTCAACATTTTGACGTGGAATATCGGTGGTCTACATAAACATGATAATGAATTTTCTCAGGTGAAACCTTTGTGTCATAATTTCGATGTTGTATGTTTCTAAGAATCATTTGTGAAAGCTCAAAACGAATTTTTCGGCATTCTTGTCCGGTTTTCGAGCAGTCAACGCTTCGTGAGAGATAAAATGAAACAACTAGGCCAATCACAGTGGCGGTGTCACCCGTCTTGATAAAGGAGAAATGGCTACATGATAACTTAATTACAAGGCTTTATGACCACTTCCAGAATACTGTTGTTCTACTTTTTCAACCAAATGTTTGCATTGGGAAAAAAGACACTCTGTTGATATTTACTTATATCTCACCAGAGGGTTTCTCAGTGAATGACAATAGTGACAATGATGGAATTGACACCCTTGAACATTATATAAACATTATAGCTTGCTGATCACCCAGACAAACAATTATTTCTAGCTGGTGACCTAAATGCTAGGACTAAAGACTTTTGGATTTCATTCCTAATGATAATATTGATTTTTATTGTGAGAGATGTTGATGATTATCCTTCAGATGATTTTGAAATGCCAAGATCAAGTAAAGATAACTTATATCATAATAACTTTGGCAAAAACTGATGGAATTGTGCTGTACATTTGGAATCCATATCATGAATGGTAGACTATTTGAGGATAAACAAGGGCAGTTTACTTGTGTTACACATAACGGTTCTAGTCTAGTAGACTACATGATTGCATCGAGCATCTGTGTTTCCTAGAGTTGCTGATTTTGGTGTTTGTACTTGTGATGTGTCTGATCATTTCCCTATTTACTGCTCTCTGAACATCCAGCTACCCAACATGGTTGGTGCACTACAGCCAATTGTACTATCAAATTCTCCAAGTAGTAATTCTGCAGAGAGTAATTCAACAACAATATGGACTAAATATGTGTGGAATGGAGAGCTCTGTGATCCTATTTATCTCTAAGTTCCAAGAATTGTTTGAAAATGTACGTAGTAAATTATATCACTGTATAGACACCAATATTGAAGATTCATTAAATGTTTTCACTGAACTGTATCAGCGAGCAGCTGCAGACCACAATAAGAAGATATTTTCAGGTTACCATGATATTAACTCTAAACCTCAACCCCAATGGTGGGACCAAGAACTCGAACAATTAAAACATATGAAATATAAAGCATTAAGAGATCATAGAGACACTAACTTGGATATTGTGGGATTTTATAAAACTCTACGTAAATCTTTCAAGAAGACTTTTAACAGCAAACTAAGAGCATACTTCGATGTACAAAAGAGAGGAAACTTATTGCAGCAAGAGACAACCCAAAGGAATTCTGGAAAACATTAAAGCAATCAGGTTTAACCTCAACAGGTGACACTACGTACAATATCAGGTGTGAAGACTGGTTCAGTTACTTCTCAGGGCTTCTAACTGAGAATTCTGGTAATGAGTATGACAGTGATATCAATTCAGAGTCCATCAAGGATGAAGAGCTAAAAACATTAAATTGTGACATTACTGAAAACGAAGTCTTACTTCACATTGATAAACTGGCAAAAAATAAGTCTCCTGGACCAGATGGTATTGCAATTGACTTTATTAAAGCTTCTAAGACTTTTATCAGCAATTATTTTACAATGTTGTTTAACAAGATTTTCCAAGACAGTATTTTTCCGGTGCTTTGGGGTAAAAGCATTATCTGTCCTTTTTACAAATCTGGTGTAAAAAGGAACCCCAATAATTATAGAGGTATCTCTCTTATTGATTCTGTGTGTAAAATATTCACTTCCATTCTTAACAGTAGGTTACAGGTTTGGTGTGAGGAGAAGAATATTATTCATGAAGCTCAGGCAGGATTCAGAGTAATTATTCTACTACTGACCACATTTTCTCACTTCAAGCTATGGTACAGAAATATTCATGTAAGAAGAAAGGAAGGTTCTATTGTCTGTTTATAGATTTCTCAAAGGCCTTTGATACAGTTAATCATAAAAGTCTTCTGTCAAGTCTAAAAAAAGTTGGTGTTGGTGGTAAATTCTATAACATCCTTGAATCAATGTATGGTAGGTTGTCAGCTTGTGTCAGAACATCTCAAGGCCTTTCAAGTTATTTTGATTGTAGTATAGGTACTAGGCAGGGTTGCATCCTCAGTCCCCAATTGTTTATTATCTTTATTAATCAGCTTATGGAAAGTATGGAGCAATTTGGTGGCCGTGGTATATTTATTACACCTGATGTTAATAATCTACCCGGTATATGCTCTAATGTTTCATGCGGATGATGTTTCCTCAGTCTCGATACTGCTCTCCAGCTTCAGAAGAAGATTCATGGGCTTGAAATTTTTGTCAACTCACCGGTATGAAGGTCAATATTAATAAGACTAAAGTTATTGTTTTCAGGAATAGCGGGCCCCTTTAGACAGTATGAAAAGTGGTTTCTTAATGGGCAAAGGCTGGAAGTTGTCTCATACTACAGGTACTTGGGTATTGTGTTCTAACTCCCTAGGCTAGTTTGGACTAAAGCTCACACTACTCTTGCTTCTCAAGCCAATAAAGGCCTTATGGCTATCTATAGATATCAATAAAGAGTAGGTTATCTGTCGTGCGGATCTTTTTAAAGTATTTGATGCTATGGTTAAACCTATTCTTTGTTACGGTTCAGAAATTTGGGGTGTTACCCATTGTAAAATCATTGAACAAATCCAGATAAAGACATGTAAATATTTCTTAAAAGTTGGTAAAAATACATGCAACAATATGGTTCTTGGTGAATGTGGCAGATTCCCTCTTCAACTTACTTATATGTCAAGGGCAGTTAAATATTGGTGTAGACTTTTAACTCTTCCAAGTTGTAGATTACCTCATCAGTTTTATTTAATGCTTAAGTCTTTGGATGAATCTGGACGGACGACATGGGCATCTCATATCAAGAATATTTTATTTAGATTTGGCTTTGGCTTTGCTTGGATTTCACAGGATATTGGAGATATTGATGGTTTCATTTCTGTTTTTAAGCAAAGATTGTCTGATAATATTTCACAAGATTGGTACTCATCCCTACATAGTACAACCAAGTGTTCTAATTATATTCTTTTCAAGTCCCTCCTGAATGTTGAAACTTATCTCAGTTTAGGTATTGCCCCATATTTAAGAAATTGTTTAACAAAATTTAGATGCGGTAAATTTAAACTTAGTTCTGAGACCGGTAGATATAACAATGTCCCTTATTATTCAAGATTCTGTCATTTTTTGCTACAAAATAATCTTAATTTAATTGAAGATGAAATACATGTTTTACTTTATTGAAAAGCCTACTTAGATATAAGGAATAAGTTTCTGGGTAAATATTTGAAACATTCTATTTCACAACACAGTTTTATAAACATAATGACTTCAAAAAACATAAATGTTATAAATAATTTGTGCCTATTTTTATATAATGTTGGGAAAATAAGAGATTCTGATGTTTTTATGTAAAACCAGGGACAATCTACAACATTATATAGTCTCCCTGGTAAAACGCATGTAACTTTTTATTATATTTATGAATGTATTTTGGGCCAGTGGCCTATTACTGAATAAATGTCTGTCTGTCTGTCTGTCTGTCTTTCACATCAAGAGTGTGAAGAATACAATTACACTACCACGAGAAGACTTGTCAGAAGCAGAGGTTGAAGATACTCTAGCAAAGAGACAACCCAAAAAGAAACATTATTCAGACTTCGTTACAGGTACATTTTAAATGTAACATGTACAGTATTAATCCTGAGCATAAACAAAACTGGTTTCATGTTTTCCATTTCTCTATACAGCAGTAACTCTATCAGACATGTTTTCCAAGAAACACTTTACATACAGTCTTATTAATTCTGGGACAAACAGTTTGTGATAATGATACTACTAAGATGTCTGGTTTGGCTAGAGCGTAATTGTAGATGATATTTATTTATCAGATGCAGATGAACTTATAAATGATCAACGCCAGGACAACCATATTGACAGTGATCATGATGAATCTGAAGGTAAGTTATGGAAAACCATAAAAGTGTGCCTGTTTCTAATAATTTGTATTGCAATTACAGAAACGTTTAGTTGGGTTTGGGGTTTAAAGTCCTGTTAACAATATTTATCACATACAAGAAGAGTGCTATGCTTTCACAGCAGCACACTGTATCTCTACAACTTATGGAACTGTTCTTCACCAGTTGCTGGACATCTGGCAGGATTTGAACCTGGCACCTTCGGATCCCCACTGCTCTAAATAGCATTACTTTCTAAACCTTGGCAAAAATCCCCTATTAAACCATGAATATTCACTGAAGGAATTTATAATGAATTAGAGTACATTTTAATTTAAAGAAAATAATATATATATATATAGCTAAAATCTGAGGTTTTTAGTGAAAAATCATGATACTTAACCATTTTTAGTTTTTACAAAGTATTTGTGCAAACTTGTTTTCACTTTCAGAGGAAATGAACAATCATCTTCCTAAGCCCCCAGAAAAGGTTTCTAGTGCCAGGAAGGATAGCAATAAATCCACATTTGGTAAGTATGGAAGAGTGTAACATTCTTTGTTAAAAAATGTAAGAAGTTTCATTTAACATCAACCAATAAGAACTTTTGAATGATTAGAAAATAACTTTAATTATTCCCATTTGAAAGTTTATAAGCAATTGGTGACTCACAATTCATTTGCACTGTTTTAAAATACTGAAACTTTAATATTTCAATATCTGTTCCAGAAAAAGAAGCAATGTGAAAAGATCCACTTTGGCACTGTAATGGAAGCAGTCAAGACAGTTGTTCCATCACAAGATAGAGGAAGGAAGAGTCGCAGCCAGTAGTCTCAGTCCCATAAGAGATCTTCATTGTCGAGTCAAGATCAAGATCGCCATCGGCTTCTTACAGCCAAAGAGGCCCAGACTGACAACAGAAAAGGGTTGGGGATTGTAGACGGCCCTCAGTTTGAATATCATGGGCAAGACAATATTAGAGAGGACAGTCCTCGACATGAGTCCAGGAGAAAGGACAGACAGGATGTGTTCAGCCCAGACACATCTAGTCTCAGACACAGGCCTTCAGACAGCGATAATGGTGATGAGCAGCCAAGATTTCCAATGACAGAAGCTCGTAAGTACTTGAGTTCCAAAGTGGAAACTAAAGTGTCAATAAGTGTAAAAGATGGTAATGAATATGAAGTGGGAAGAACTGCATCCACGTGACCTTGTGAATTTCTGCATCACTTGTGAACTTGAAAAAAATAATGACAGGTAAAAAGTCTTTTATTCTGATTTGTTTTTCGAAACACTTTAAAATTCTGGGTATATTATATGGTTTGTACTTTCAACTTTGTATAGAAATTTGTTGTCATACACTTTAAGATTTGTATTTTTGTCAGTGATAAAAGCGAAAGATGCATCATGTTATTTTTGTTCAGCATTGGTCACATGTTTATAAGGCAAAAATAAAAAATAAAATGATGTTCCGATTTCCTACATTTCAGAACTAGGGTAGGTAGGTAGGGTTGTTTTGTTTTTTTGCCAAATAATTTTACATTACTCATGTTTCAGAAAATAAATATATTTTTCCTTATCCTGACTCATGCTTATTTGCTTGTCTTCTTCTTCTGGCGAACCTAGTGGAACACTTGTATCTCCCAATTGAAGTTCCCTTCAATAAAAAATCACTCATTAGTACTCACCACGAGTTACCTCCCTTCTGTAAGCGCGGGAACGAGGGCGCCACCCAAGCCCATGTGCCGCACTCTCTCCTTCGCCCAGTGAGCTGGACGTGAGAGCGCCTGTGTCTCCCAACACACTATATCCTTTAATTGTATTTAGTTAGTTCCTCTTATGCGTTAGTATAGAGGTAGTACTAGTATAATTATTCAATTTGCATTGATTATTACTTGTGTTTCTGCTGTTTTATTCACGGTTCGTCGTGTTTGTTCAGTAGGCTACATTAATGAAAAATTGCACAGAATGTAAACTACGTTATTCTGATACCGATCCACATTTAAAATGCCCTAGTTGCATTACTCCATGTTCCTTTGATTCTCGTTGTAAATTTTGTATCAATTTACCTATCTCTGCCTTTGACAAATATTTATGTTCCGTTTATAGACGGAAGGCAGATAAATCCCGTAAACAGAATTCAAACATGGCTAATAGATCGCAAATTAATGTTTCATGTCAACTGTTGACTGAGGACACGCCACCAGCTGGTGGCATGCCTGAGTTTCCCTCGGCGGATAAGCGTGGGACGCAGTCCGCTATGTCCAAGAAGCGACCTGCATCTCAAGAGCTGCCGTCTTCTCAGTCCAAGTCGAGGAAACCATCCATATCATCTCGACACTGCGTACACCAAGATCTACACCTTCATCTAAAGGGAAGTCAACAAAATCTAATAATTTTGCCTCTGATATCTTACCAGTTACAGAATTAGCATTATATGATGATGATTTGCCAATTATCATTCCAGAAGTTCGTCACAAGAAACGGCCCGTTTCTGCGACTGTCACCTCAGCGCAGATGAACACACAACCGGAGATGCCGACTCTATCTCCAGAAATTTTATCTGAGGGTCCCGTCACCTCTGCAGAGACATCCTCATCAATGCAGACCGCTTCAGACGACTTGATCAACCACATAATGAGGGTGATGGAAGACTGCTACGGCTTACAGAGGCCTCAGAGCCACGGGCCTCAGAGCCCACCCCATATTAAGTCATACAGGGCCTCAGAGCCCCCCTTTGGCTTCGCTGTAGGGGCCTCTGATCCCATAGACGCTTTCTCCCATAAGGGCAACCCTGCCCTGAGTGAGCTCTTTGCATAAGGTATCCCAGGCAAGCCTCCGTGAAGGAGCCAGAGCCTCACCTTTTGCAAGAGGCTTCGCGAGAAGGAGCACTTCGCTGAGCACGCACCTTGTCATGCACGAAGGGCGTCGGGCGAAGTAAGCGCTCATATGTCAGATCGGACACTGACTTCCAGACATTCGCGTAGGACGCCTTGAGGCTAAGTGGTTCTACATCGCCTAGAAGACTGATCAGCGTAGCCCTCAACGTTCGAGAAGTCCAGAGCATCTGCGAAGCTATCACCATCGTTCACAGCTTAAGCCCACAATCTCCTTGAAGATGTCTTCTCCAAGGTCTACATACACTAGCCACTGTCCAGTCCGTTCTCCTCAGTCCTCACATAGATCTTCTTACAGATCGAGGACTCCGACATCCTACCATATCGTCAGAGGAGGACGATGGTATCATTTTCTCAGAGGCTGAGATAAGGTATTGGACGGTAAGCGACTTACAACTGGCCTCTCCTCTAAGAGCGCAGGATACAGCCCTAAACTTACCTGATGTTAGATGATGATGTAGATCATATCACCGTGCCTCCTATGGATCCTATCGCAGCCGTTCCTGCTAAACTGGATACAGCCTACTCCAAATCTGCTAAAACTCAACTTACCCATTTACCATTCTTCAATGCCAAGAGTTTTTATGGACATAATATGGAGCCCTTTTTCAAGACTCAGGAGATTGATGAAAACTTTAAACTTATCAGTGATCTGAAGTCCAGAAGTTATAGGGTAGACGATTGCAAGATGGCCCAGTTAGATACCATTTCCAGAAGGATGTTCTTTGGACTCAACAGATCTAGGACTGTTAACGAAACTCTCATCACCAAGTTCAAGAACTCCACGGATGAGGAAGACAGGATGATCTATTCAGCTCTACTTATGCAGAAAAAGATCAACAATTCCTTACAGACCATCTTTCAGCACTTACTGAAACTACTACCATGACACGTCGGCAAGGATTACTAGCCTCCTGCTCTTGGAATAAACAATTCACAGAGCCCCTATACACAGCTCCATGGTCTTCACCCTTACTGTTTGGTGGCAACATTAACAAGGTCTCCAAGGAAGTATCAAAGATTCTAGAGAAGTACTCATGATTAAATCTATGGATACATTAGCGCATCGCTCTTTAAACAATCAGCACAGAGGTACTTCGGGCAAGTCAAGTTTTCAGGGCTACAGAGAGCACGGGATAAGAAATTAGCGGACGTTAATAATCCCAAGGATTCCTTTCGCCTAAGCATTTTAACAAGTTCAGAGGGAGGATCAGCTAGAGGCAGATCATCCAGAGGTGCCGATGGATTTAAACGATGAAAGTCAGGTTCGGAACGACTGGAGTCTTCCACCCCCAGTCGTCCCAGTACAACCTTCTCAAGTGGGTGGACGTCTACAACTACACTGGGAAAACTGGGGAATACTTCAAGATCCGTATGTATCCAACATCCTTCAGTACGGATATCGTCTACAACTCAAGGCCAAGCCACCGTTAACAGTCAACCCACCAGGGTTCAACGTTCATCTGGCACAACTTCCATGTTAAGAGAAACAGTTCAGTCTCTACTAAACAAACAGGCCTTAGAAGTTCTCGATCAGCAAAACATCATACCAGGTTTCTACTCCCAGTTTTCCTAGTGCCGAAAAGAATTCCAAAGAGAAGTATCGTCTCATTTACAACATGAGCACATTCAACAGAGAATTTCTATGCAAACCACCAGCGTTTAGCGATGATACATTACACTCAACTCCGTCATCTAATAGTGCGTCCACTAGATTACATGGTAAGGCATAGATCTGCAGGACGCATATACCTACACATTCCGATTCATCCCAGTTCAAGGAAATATCTGAGATTTATGCTAGACGGCATACACTACCAATGGAAAGTACTTCCTTCGAATCACTTCATTTCGCCCCATGGATATTCACAAGAGTAACCAAGCCTATTGTCATCATACCTACATCGTCAAGGCCCTGCGGAATGCATTTTACCTAGACTGACGGGTATACAGGTGGATCCAGATCCACAGCGCCTCAGACTACAGCTGAACTTTTACAATCAAGCAACTAACGCAGTTAGGCTGGTTAGTAAATCTACTCAAGTCGGGACCTAGAGCCCACGCATAGGATCTGCAGTTTTGTGGGTATCACCATTCCTTACAGCGCAGAATCGTATGGTAGTCCCGGAGGACAGATGGATCAAAATACAACAACTGATTCCCCAAGCCCTACTCTCTCCGTTACCACTACGACAGTGGCAGAGGCTACTGGGACTACTCACATCAGCTCAAGACTTGACACTCAGAGGCAGGCTTCAATTACGTCCATTACAAGTCCTCATCAATGCCCATCTCGAGGACCCTCTACCGTTCAGTCTACCAGATTACATCAAACCACATCTACTCTGGTGGACCAAGAGATTGAATGTTTGCGCAGGCGTCTCCTTAGTAGAGCGTCACTAAGAGGTTGGGGAGCCCACCTTACCGGCAGGACAGCGTCAGGCCTATGGAGCATTCAAGAGAGCTTATGTCACATAAATCTGCTAGAGATGCAAGCAGTCATAAACGCCATAGGTCACTGGAGCAACCTATTACAGAACGCTCTGTTAATGATTCACACAGACAACTCAACAGTGGCGTTTTATGTGAACAAACAAGGGTCAACAAGATCACTGAATCTTCTCACTCGATGTTTCAAACTGTTCGATTTGATGAAATACAGTCTAAACATAACTGATATCAAAGCCTGCCACATTCCAGGAGCAAAAAATGTGTTAGGCAGACGCTCTCTCGGCCAGCACCAACCAAATCGCCCGACAGAATGGATGCTCCACACAGAGATATTCAATCAGATAATCATGGAAATAGGATCTCCTCTGATAGACCTATTTGCCACCCGATTCAACAATCAACTGACAACTCGTATCGCCAGTGCCAGATCCGCTAGCTTGGGCAACGGAGGCACTAAGCATATCATGGGAGGGACTAAACGTGACGCTTTCCCGCCTCCTCGCGTTAATCCCACAAGTCTTGCTAAAAATCAGTCAAACGCGAAGAGCCTCCGATCTGATTTTGGTCTCGGCCTTACTGGCCAGCGAGAACGTGGTTTCCAGACCTCATACTAGAATCGGAAAACCAGTACTTCAGCTCCCACTACGCCCAATCTACTGATACATCCGCGACACCAAACAATTGCACAAAACACCAGAAGCATTCCGACTTCACGTGTGGATTGTATCAAGGCATGTTTGAATAAGAGAGGTTATTCCACCAGAGCGGC